TGATGCTGCGTAATATAAAGACAATCAGAATTTGGTTTTGTGCCTGGGACTCCTGTCACTGATGAATGGAACAGATATGATATAATATCATACCAGGAAATTAAGCAGAACCAAATGAAAGAAAAAACAAAATTAAAAAAAACAACAACAACAACAACAACAACAGTATTTGGTAAAACAGAAACAGTCTTTTATGGTACTTGAGGACCATGAAAGCCATATGTAGTGATAATGTGTAATTTTGTGTTTTTCTTTTTTTATTCTACTGCACGTATGTGAGCAAATTTAAAATACACTTTAAGTAATATTGAAGGTCCTGCTAAATGCTGATAGCAGAGTGGAAGTGGCCTGAAGATAAGAGCTGAAATAATCGATCATGAGTAAATGAATCTGCAGCAACTTTAATCATGTCCATAACTGTAAAATGAATTTCTTTTGGGTGTTGAACCATTAAATTAGAGCTAGTAGATGCATTTTCAAAACTATGGGAATTTTACATTTGCTTCTTTTGTTTTTAAAGAACAATTTTCTTAATTTCCTTAAATCGGCTCTGTGGCGTTGTGATTAACACATTTGCTTTACATGCAAAAGATTGATGGTGGAAGGGTAAGAAGAGTTAGGGTTAGGATTAGCATAAAGTGCTTTTACAGATCCTTAAATGTACAATATGTAGAAACTCCACTGATCATGAAAGTAATGCTGCTCTACTAATGCTTAGATAGACGCTGGGTGAACAGTGGCGGTTTCCATAAGCCCTATTATTTCTTAAGTTTAACCATATTCTTAAAAGTAACAGAAGAGTCACAGCTGACCTCTAATACCTGCATATTCATTGAGAATTCAGGGCAAATTGCCTGTGTCATCATAGTAAAATATGAGACAGAATAAATGGGGTGTAAAAAGCAATGAAATTAACAACCATAAACATCTTGTTAAAGCCTCCAGGCTGTTTTCTAGCAGTAAGTGCCAATAAAAGAATACAAGAATGCAGCATCTGTCCTAGTTTTGTTTCTCCTGTGTTCGTATTCCACTTCAGCTTGAGTTTGTCAGAAGTCACTGCACACAAGTGGATCCAAAAGTGTGTTTTTGAATGAGCCGTTTGAGCAGATGGAGAGAGGACAGTCTTCCTTTTTGTGCTATTTCTGCCCAAACCACAAAGCCAGAAGTCATAACATAACACCACCTCCTCTGTGGTGGTGTCGTTGGTGTAGCCTTAAGCTTCCTGTGCATGAGCATGAGAAATTCTCAGAAAACTGAAATATTCAGAAACAAAACCTGGTGTTGTTTTCATGTGCTATTCACTTGCATTAAAGAGAATTCAATTATCACAGTATTTAGGTCATACAGTTTATTAGTCTCCCGGGGGATGGCTGTAGCCATCTTCCGTTTAAGTACCACCATAACTGCCTAAAGCTAAATTCATCACTTCACACCTGCTCCAGCTGCATTTGCACAGAGAGACGAATGCACTGCGCATCATCCCGAGTGATTTGGAGCACGCTCTGAACGGTTTTATGACCAGCCATGATGCAACTAATCAGGAGCTCAATTTGCAAAAAAAATACTTTTTTTTAGGATGCACATGAGCTCAGTTAACCTTCGTATAGCTAAGGCACTGAGTCTGAGTTAGCTTTTACACAGAAGTCAGTGCATTTTAGTGTCATTCCTGTAAATTATAAGTGCAAAGGTGTATTTTATTCTTTAGTAAACAGACATTTCCTTTTTTTAACGTTGGTTTAAAATAATTTAGTGACGATTCTGGTGGTTTTACTTTGGGTTAAGGCTAATAATCTTTTTCTCTCTTTTTGTGGTGACATAAAGTATATTACTGCAGGCGTTCTTCTCCAGGCTGGATCAGTAAGGATGCTATTATTACTTCAAGCAGAACATAAAAGGAACGTGGAGAAAGGAGGGCGAGAACTACAATGTGCTGCTACCTTGCCTGAAATACACTCGTGCATGTGTGTCTGTTTATTCCCTGCCTCCCTTTAGTTGTAATAACAACACTGACTCATTGGCCACTAACATCACTTCTTCTCTGATCATCTGCAAAACACCACAGAGCAGCAGTGACTGGCTATCTGCAGGCCACCACCTCGGATGTCAGCACCTCTCTGCTTCTTTTTTGGCACTTCACAGAGCTGCTTGTTAGGAGAAAGGTTTGATTTCAAAGGTGAACTGAACTGAGGCAGTGAAAGCAGTGGTCGCAAACAGATCCCATCTGCAAGGGTGCTTTGAAAACAGATGGCAGCATTAAGGATAAAGCTTGGATGTAATTCTAAGCTGCTCCAGAGTTGCTTTAGGATCATGTCTTCTTATTTGGGGTATTAAAAACATTATTAAGTCAATAAAGAAAACATGAGACAGCTCTATGGCAAACTTTGTCTGTGCATGTACTGTAAACACAGAGTACGAGGGAGCTCTTGCATTTTCTAACATAAAAACTGCAATTAAACCTTTATCACCACTATCATCTACAATCAAAAGAAAACATGCAGAAAACTGAAAAATCCAACTTCTTGAGGTTAAACGATCCAAACTTCAACATCATCTGTAGGCCATCTGAAGCACTGATTCTTAACTGATACTCAGTTGAGCTGTGGGCTAAGTAACCACATATGATGAGATCCATTTCAATGAGTGATGTGAGCAAAATTTACCCTGTCACATTCTGTTAATCCTCGACTCAAAGCGAGCCCAAAATGAGAAAAGTGTAAAGTGCTCACGTAAATGACTTAAGATCAAGCCCATCTTGATTGTGACTCTTTTATTTTAAATATACAGGATCTGGAAATTACACTGCGCTGATATTACTCTTATGATGTTACGGCTCCCTAGCTGGAATAAGTAAGAAAGTCTGTGCTAAAAATCCAGCTGAGAAATTCATCCAGGGCACATTAAGCTTATGCCTTTGGCTTCTTCTGTGCTTCATATGATTGTAAAATACTGGACTCCATTCAGAAGTCTGAGTGAGTTACATGTTATGCATTTTGCAGGACTTTTTGTGTAACATAATTTTGCACAAATTAAGAAAAACAGCAAACCCTATTTATTTAAAATAACATATAGTACTGCGCAAAAGTCTCAAACTAGCCCTCGTTTCTTTATAGTTTATTAGGAAAATGACAAATAGGTGCAAGCATTTAATTAAAACATGCGACATGCACGATAATACAACATAAAACACCAAATTCTGACATTGTCTTAAGCAGCTTAACAAGCAAATGAAAATGATAAGATACAAGACTTTTGCACAGTACTGTAAATGACTTTTTGTTTGTTTAAAAGAAACTGGGGACTTTGTGATGTACAATAACAGCCACCTGCCAGCGTAGCAGGAGTAAACCATGAAGACAGGAGGCTGACTAAAAGAACGACTTAAGACAAAAACCACGCATCCAGCAATGCCAGACATTCCTCGGTTTCATTTTGAGAATTATAATTTTTGTCAGTGTAGTAAATGAAACATGATCTCCATGTGACAGCTAACACTGGCAGATGACTGCACTAAATTGATCGTTCTGTTCGCCGATGAATCGAGGTCAAATCTCGGGGCTGAAACCACAGAAGTGAATATGATGTTATATGAAGTATTAGCTTGTGGTTTGTGTTACAGTGACACAAACATGCTGTCAGGTCGGGATTGCTGTGGATCAAATCCCTTCGGTGCAACTGGGTTTGCCTGCGGGTGCGGCACTGCCTGCCGCTCCCAGGAGTAGTTACTGTGCAATACGAGCTTGTCTACATAATGACAACAACAACAGCAGCTTTTCCCATGATGACGCCTTCTCAGGAACTAACTGTCATTTCTCATACTAAAAATCAAATAAAGTACTACTAATGCTTGCGCTGTGCTTCTGGTTTACAGCTGTAGTATATTACTATCGTGTGCAGTCTTTTGGAGTCTACATATCACACTCTACATAGAGTGTGATCCACCTAAGACTGATCGGGTGATTGAATTATGGAGTAAAGTAATAATATGCCCAAATTTGATATGTAGCTACCTCATGACTAATGCGTAGAATTGCCTTTTAGAAAATCAGTTTCCTTTAACACTGCTGTGCTCAGTCCGTCTGGCACGCTGTCTAAGATGACTGATTTGATTTTGCTCCAAACTGGCGGCTGCTCTGTGATGTTTCATTACAAGCTGCACCTCTACGTCAAACATCAAACTCCGCCAACGCAGTTGCAGCTCCAGAAATTCCACATATGGAGTTTTTCCCATAGTTATCAGCTACATTAGATTGACAGGTTATGCCTTCGAGTCAAATGAAAAATGAATACTCAGCTTGTTATGTTTGTCCAGGCGTACTGATTTGATAAGCACCGGATAATTTACTGTGTCTCGCCTGATAGTTAACATGATGTATGGGAGTACGGCGGAGGGAAGAGGAACGAGACAGAGACAGATGACAGCAAGAACAGATGTGTCTTAAATGGTTTGGTGAGGACACTCATAAGGATAATGGGATTAAAAAATGCATAGGGATTTTTTTTTTTTTTAAAGATGAGTATTTAGGTGATTTAGGTACATTAATTTTTTTTTAATTTAATATATTCCATTTGAAATAAATTATATTCAGGTTGCTTTTAAAAACTGTTTAAAGGGAGACTTTTGTGTACATTTTTACTTCTACTGTATATTTTTCTCCTAGGACTCCACTGGAACACATTTGCATTAGTCACAGTTTTAGCTCCTGCCTCTTTAAGGCCACCCCTCCCTTAAAGCACAGTTTAATCTGATTGGTAGCTCCTCACCTGGCTTTCACAAACAGAATCCAGTGCTAGCAAGCTAGACCTCCTTATCTCACCTGAAATGACCATAGAAGGAGACCTACAATGAGCAGATTGAGCTGAAAACTGATTGATTAGATCAGTTTAGAGGGTTTACTTTGTTACAGTACAAATACGAAAAAAAAAAAAAATCAGGTTAAAGCTTCCCCACTTACGTTATTTTAGATTGCTTTAAGAAAACCATGAAATCAAAAGAAACTCACCCTGGCGAAGTGCTCGGGGTCTCTCAGAAAGACCGTCCTCTCCTTGGCGATGCTGTTGCTATGGTAGAAGTCCACCAGCTCGTTCAGAGAGGAGAACGCCTCGTCCCACACGTAGTACTGACTACAGCGATCCTGCAGTACCTTGAAATGCTGAACATGATCCCCATAACTGCAAAGCAGGTAAACAAAGAGATGCAAACGATCATAAAACTGAGTATCTATGAGGATATGTGCTTCCTCGCAGTAGCATACCTTAACTAATGAGTTCCATTTTTTGCCATTTTGTTAACTAACACTAAAAAAAATACAAAATCGTGAGAAAATCCTTATTTTGTTCCTCTTGATAAATCTTAATTTTGCTCATTTCTTTCTCCCCTGGTCATCCACAACACCACCCTGCAGTGGCTCCATGCTCACAAACACTGAGAATCACTGCCATAGCCAGTTTCCCTTTATTGGATTAAACTTCATGGAAATGAAATCTATAAAACACACTGGGCAAAATTCCCAAATCTCATTAAAAGTTTGAATATTTACTATTGTTTATATGGGACAAATTGCATATATATATATATATATATGCAACAACACGGGTCATTTACTCTCAGAAATAATTTGGAAACAAAACGGTGACTTGTTAACTGTATTGACGGTGCTTGGGCTCAATTTAAGGTCTATTGTAGGAATCATGGCTGAATAATCCTGCTTTTTAATCATGTACTCTATTGTCAATCACAAGGTCTCTTTATTTTTCTTTTAGTTTATTTCTTTTTGTCTTACAGTACATCTGGACCAACTATTTCTTAATAGTCTTAATGTTTAGCCTGCAAAGCCTCCTCCCAGATGTCAGCTGCTGATTGGACAATGGATTTAGTGCATTTCAATTTGCCTCTAAAATCAGCGGAGTGACCTCTGCTTGGTATTATACGTATAAGCAAGAGAAACGCTTGAGATTACAAGTCTCTTCCGTAAGAGTGTCGTGTCCTCGCACAGGCAGAATTAACCTGGTGTGTTTTTCATTTTGAGCCGGAAGCTGTGCCCGAGTCCAAACCCAGGACCCTGGGTTGACTTAAAGCTGTTGAAATAATGTGAAAACAGACAAGCTGTTACAAAGAGAAACCCAAACTACTGTGGAAATATCTAACACAGTCAGTTTCTCAGAATTCATAAAAGCAGACAATGACATTTTCACAGACTGCTCTGTGAGTCTCATGTCAAATAAACCCAATACCCTTTAAATTTAAATAAATGTGGTTTAGATGCTTTGTAGCACAAAATCAGCAACATTGTTAGACAGATTCTGATCAAAGCCAAGCAAAGCAAATGACAAAAAATAATAAAATAAAACCATAAGTGACACAAACAAAAATAGCCTAGGTGTTGAAGAGCTTTGCCTTGTTGTTATAATTAGAAGAGTTTGGTCAGCATTCATTGACAATCATACCTGCTCCCCTTGTTCTGGTCTGTGGTGGTTGCTAAGTAACTTCCCAGCTTATCTTTAGAAATCTGGACATCTCACCGTGATTACATGGTTACATAACTGCGTCTAACATGCAGCGGAAATCAGTGCAACACCCCCATATTTCTAAACACATCGCAGAGTAGGTGTGTGTGTTAATGTTATGTTAATGATTGCTAAAATATCACGTCGGTGGTTAAAGAGAGAGCCAACATTCTCTCTCCCGTTTCTCTTCTAGCGCAGCATCATCGGTGTGGATGGAAATACCGCCATTGAATGATGCATCCTAATAAGCGAAAAAGCACAATGTGGGATCTCTTTTTGGGGGGATTTGTGGTTTAACCTTGCTCGGCTCCTTCTGAATCGCGTCTGATTGGCCGTGCTCCAGGCTCGCGGAAAGTAAATGAGCATCGGCTTTTTTTCACCCAGAATTCCTTTCTCTATTCAGACACTGTGCTCCTGTGAACAAGCAGAGCTGGCTCCCTTATGACTGGATGGCATTCAGCTACACCTCCACCCTGCCCTTCTTTCTCTGCCTCCTCTTTTTCTCCAGCCTGTGTGTCCTTGTTTCTCTCCTCTCACGATCTGACTCCCAAAACTGAGGATTTTATTTTGCAGGAATATTAAATTAATCAAATGTGTCTTTCAAAAATGACAGCCTACCAGCATGTGAATATTAACTCATTCTGTATGACCAACAGTGCTTTTATTTTGCCCACAGGTCTGGTTGGCTTCAGCTATTTTGGTACCCTGTGCGAGGGTTTGAGGTTTGGTGAATAAACTCTGAGGAAAATTTCTGAACAGCCAGAAGCAACAAACACAACTTCACCTGGAATTAATGTTTAATCGGGTCTTAATTACATTTAATTTCGGGGACTCTTACAAACAGATCTGTCTGTGCCCCTCTGGCAACACACGAACACTGTGTTTTAAGCTGTAGTGTTCCTAGACCAATGCTGGGGTGGTAATGTTCATGAATTGCTACTTAAAGGCCACAACTTTTTTTATTATTGTCATATTGTTGCCATATCATTGCTGTCAGTGCAGACAATCACCTCTTAATCTCAGTTCTTTCTAACTTTTCTCTCTTTATCTCACTTTGTCTCCATTGCCTTTCTTACTTCAGCTTTACACACACACACACACACACACACACACACACACACACAAAGCACAAAACTGTGGTGTTCTGTCAGAGTAATCTTCATCAGCCCCAATAATCTCCCAAGGTGTCTGGCGCCCTCTGCTGCACCCTACTGGTGGGGCTCTGTAACTGCCACCAGCTCTGCAACTGTGCAGCAGCTGCTTGTCTGAGGGAGCAAATCACACAATAAGCCCCTGCTGGATAACGAAGTCAAAATAAGTAAGGGGTGCTGTGAGAGGTGAACAGAGACGAGAAGATTTTAAAACAGGATGTGAGCTCAACACGGACTTTCCCTCGAGGGGATTCACAACAATGTAAAGCACAATTAAACACATAAAACAGATGGAAGAAAAGAAGAAAAGAAGGTAATATTTGAAGTTATTCTGCACCCTCTACATCCTTCTCAGGGGTAGTTTGTAATTTGAAAGAGAAAATTTATTTTCAGGAAATTAAAAATTATTCTTATTTTCAGGGGAAAGAAATCAATAGAAAACGAAAAACAAAAAAAAGCTCATTTCAGTTTAGCTTTGGAATATTAATGTGAAACTGGCATCTATCATTAATGTTTGACATGCCCAGCCCCTCCCCCACCGGAAAAAGTGCCCATGCAAGTGACCAGAAGCTAGCTAAATACTGGCTGAACATTAAACCACGCTTGATGCTAAATTTACCCTGCCATGCAAAACACAACCACACATCAGTATCAGGAAAGAGGTAAAAATAATAATAACGCAGTTTGAGACTTTGAACACAAATCATGAGAAAACTAGCCTTAAAAAGTATTTAAATACTATTTTTTGCTGTATCGCAATGGCAACACACCTTATTTAGAATGAAATAAACCATAATCTAGAGTTAAATACTTGTATGTGATCAAGAGGAGAATGCATGATAATGTAGTTGTAACAATATTCGGCGATGTCATACTGATGGTTTTATTAATTACGACGGTGAAGTAGAGACAGTAGAGAAGCAGTTTGCTGTAAGAGCGCAGACAGCATCTGTCTCAGCTGGATCGCTCTCTCGCACACACACATACACAAAGCAGTCTCTCCAAGTGCCCTCTCATCTCTCTGATCCAGTGTAATTAAGGCCCACAGCGATGGAGAGATTATGCTCTGTTTCCGAGTAAAAGGAAATGAGAACGAGAGCAAGAATCTAAGAATGAGAGTGAGAAAGATTGAAAGACAGAAAATGAAATAGATTTAGAGATAGAACTCAGAGTCAGATATACTGTAGATGAGGACAGCAGTTACATTTCAGACTTTTGCTCTGCGCCAGCGCTATTGTGTGTGCTCAAAGGTCGTCCGACCATCTTTCTCTCAACTTCCCCCATCAATCTATTCTCACTTCCTTGTTCTTGCTGTCTCTCTCATTCTGCCAGCCCCCTTGTCTAATCTGCTGTTCAGTTTCTAAACCGCTGCAGATGTCTGGACTACTTCACACAGTCACACTAACACCTCCGGCCGACAGTTTTTAATCTGTGTGTGTTTGTGTGCCCATGTGATGCAAATTGCTGATTATATCATGTTTTTGTGCCAGCTATCGTGCATAACCGGCTGCCGTATTACATGCGTTGTAGGCCGCCATGCACACACATTTTGACCACCAGTGCGTGCACGTTTTAAAGGAGCGTCCTTGCATGTCAACCAGACATGTCAGTGAGTGAGGAGGGGGGGGTTCAAACCGCTTGTGGCATTAATAAAGCATAGCATGTTTTGATAGATGGCTGAGGAGATAGGAAGGAAGTGTGACCGTCTGTGCTCTGAGGGTGCAGAGCGAGAGATGTGATGAAGCAGAGAAGGGGAGGAATGATAAAATATGTTTTGGTGGAGGCACTTTAATCGAAACTGTGTTGACTTAGTGGGCTGAATATTTCTACTGCATATTTAAGTCATTCGCGTCCACCTGAAACTTTGGGAAAGCGCTCATACCCCTGACTTCAATCAATTTTTTAAAATCAAGTTAAAACTGTTTACTTTCATTTTTTTTTTGTCTGTGTGCAAAGTGGAACAATGCAAGCATCCAAAATAAAACCAGGATTGTTGGAAAAGCAGCGCTAAAAATTCCATGCTATGCTTAACAGCCGTTGGGCAATACTAACGATGCTTTTCTCATTTTGGATGTTTGTTAAACGTGTATTCTTTTTTCGGCTTCCTTTTTTGTTTTGACCTTCTACATGAATAATTAAAAACAGCAGGACTTGCCATCCTAAGGTGACAGAAACTGTCAGCAAGCACTTCTGCTGAATGAGTCATGTTGGTCACAGGAAAAGTCTCCAACAAGCAGGCCTCTTTAAGCAGAAAGCTCAAATGACACCACTGTCATGATGCTGTCAAAAGATTTACAGATCTATGTCATGTCTTCACTTTTCATTAACTTTGTTCACCTTAAATTCAATAACATTTTAAAATTCTTAAGTAATGAGACTTTTACGATGCTCTGTGATTTCTTGAGTTCAAGCTTTTTTTGTGGTACATTTATGTTATGATTGAAAATCTTTTCAATCTGAGTGTTTGGAATTTGGGGAATAAATTTAATATAACTTTTTGTATCTGCTTTTTCT